TCCTCTAAAATCAGGGACAAGACAAGGCTTTCCACTCTCTACACAGCTCTTCAATATTGTCCTTGAAGTTCTAGCTAGAGCAATAAGACAACAAAAGGAGATCAAGGAGATGCAAATTGGAAAGGTAGAAGTCAAACTTTGGCTATTTGCAGATGATATGATAGTCTACATAAGTGACCCAAAAAACTCTACCAGGGAACTCCTACAGCTGATAAACACCTTCAGCAAAGTGGCAGGATACAATATTAACTCGAAAAATCAGTTGCCGTACAATATACAGATGATAAATGCACTGAGAAAGAAATCAGAGACACATCATCCTTTACAATTGCCACAAACAACATAAAAACCTTGGAATAATGCTAACCAAAAGAGTGAAAGCCCTGTATCATAAGAATTTTGAGTCTTTAAAGAAAGAAATTAAAGAAGATACCAGAAAATAGAAGGATCTCCCATCTCTTGGATATCTCTTGGATAGGTAGGATCAACATAGTAAAAATGGCAATCTTGCCAAAAACAATCTACAGATTCAATGCAATCCCCATTAAAATCCCAGCATAATTCTTCACAGACCTTGAAAGAACAATTCTCAACTTTATATGGAAAAACAAAAGACCTAGCATAGCCAAAACAACCCTGTACAATAAAGAAACTTCCGGAGGCATCACCATCCCTGACTTCAAGATCTATTATAGAGCTATAGTCCTGAAAACAGGTTGGTATTGGCACAAAAATAGACAGACAGACCAATGGAATTGAAATGGAAACCCTGATATTAACTCACACACCTACAAACACCTGGTTTTGACAAGGAAGCTAAAATTATACCACGGAAAAAAGAAAGCATCTTCAACAAATGTTGCTGGCATAACTGGATGCTGACATGTAGAAGACTGCAGATAGATCCATATCTATCACCATGCACAAAACTTAAGTCCAAACGGATCAAAGACCTCAACATAAATCCAGCCACACTGTACCTCTTAGAAGAGAAGGTAGATGGTACCCTCGAATGAATTGGTACAGGAGACAGCTTCCTGAACATAACACCAGTAGCACAGACACTGAGATCAACAATTAATAAATGGGGCCTCCTGAAACTGAGAAGCTTCTGTAAGGCAAAGGATACAGTCAGCAAGACAAAATGGCAGCCCACAGACTGGGAAAAGATATTCACCAACCCCACATGTGACAGAGGGCTGATCTCCAAAATATACAAAGAACTCAAGAAGCTAGTCTCCAAACACCAACCAATCCATTTAAAAAGTGGGGTACAGAACTAAATAGACAATTCCCAATAGAGAAATCTAAATGGCTAAAAGACACATAAGAAAGTGCTCAACATCCTTAGCCATCAGGGAAATGCAAATCAAAAGAGCTCTTACTCCTGTCAGAATGGCTAAAATCAAAAATACCAACGATAGTCTATGCTGGAGAGGATGTGGAGAAAGGAGATCACTCCTCCACTGCTGGTGGGAGTGCCAACTCTACAGCCACTTTGGAAGTCAGTATGGAGGTTCTTCAGGAAAATGGGAATCAATCTACCACAAGATGCAGCAATTCCACTCCTAGGCATATACCCAAAAGATGCACATTCATATAACAAGGACATCTATTCAACTATGTTCATAGCAGCATTATTTGTAATAGCCAGAAACTGGAAATAACCTAGATGCCCCTCAACTGAAGAATGGATAGAGAACATGTGGTACATTTACACAATGGAGTACTACTTAGTGGAAAAAAACAATGGAATCTTGAAATTCACAGGCAAATGGATGGAACTAGAAAAAACCATCCTCAGTGAGGTAACCCAATCACAAAAACACAAAAATGGTATGTACTCACTCATATATGGATTTTAGATCTAGGGCAAAGAAGTACCAGCCTACAATCCACACCACCAGAGAAGCAGGAAACAAGGGGCACACTAAGAGAGACATAAATGGTCCCCCAGAGAAGGGGGAAGGAACAAGATCTCCTAAGCTAATGGGGAACATGGGTGGGGGGGACAGGGAGTTAGAAGACAGTAAAGGGGAGAAGAAGAGGGGAGAGGAGGACATGAGGGAACAGGAAGATTTAGTCAGAAGAAGAATAGAGGAGAGCAAGAAAAGAGATACCATCATAGAGGGAGCTATTATAGGTTTAAAGAGAATTCTGGCAGTAGGGAAATGTCCAGAGATCTACAAGGTTGATCCCAACTAACAGTCTAAGCAATAGTTAAGAGTCTACCTTAAAAGCCCTTCTCCGATAATGAGATTGATGACTACCTTATATGCCATCCTGGTGCCTTCATCCAGATGCAGAAATCCACAGCTAAACATTGAGCGGGGAGGAGTGATGAGCAAAGGGGTCAAGACAAGGCTGGAGAAACCCACAGAAACAGCTGACTTGAACAAGGGGTTGCTCATGGACCCCAGACTGATAGCTGGGAAACCAGCATAGGACTGATCCAGACCCCCTGAAGGAGGAAGTCAGTTTGGAGGTCTGAACAATCTATGGGGCCACTTGTAATGGATCAGTATTTACCCGTAGTACACAAATGAACTTTGGGAGCCCTCTCCACATAGAGGGGTACTCTCTCAGCCTAGACACACTGGGGAGGGTCTAGACCCTCCTCCAAATGATATGACAGAATTTGAAGATTCCCCCGTGGAAGGCCTCACCCTCCGTGGGGAGCAGAGAGGGGTTAGGATAGGGGGGTTGGTGGGGGGAAGGGAAGGAGGGGAGGGAGAGAGAACTGAGATTGACATGCAAAAGGAGATTGTTTCTAATTTAAATAAAAGAAAAATTTAAAAAAAGAAAGAAAAGAAAAGAGCCACAAAGCCAGCAGGCAGTGGTGGCCCACACCTTTAAACCAGCACTTGGGAGGCAGAGGCAGGCAAATCTCTGTGAGTTCGAGACCAGCCTGGTCTACAAGCGCTAGTTCCAGGACAGCCTCCAAAGCCACAGAGAAACCCTGTCTCCAAAAACCAAAATAAATAAATAAAATAAAATAAAATAAAAATAGAGCCACAGAGCCATCCCTCTAGTGGGCATGTGGCCACAGTAGTGGAATCAAGGAATTCTCAGACATTTGCTTGTTCACAGGAACGGATCCCTGTCTTCTGAGATGCTCACTCCTTCACAGGAGGATAATTCACAGGAGGATAAATACTATAAAGCCGCTGTGTCACTTGAAACCAAAGAATCTGAGGTATGGTGTTTAGTGAGGTGAACCAGCCACCTAGGGACAAATTCCACAGGACTTCACTTATACTATGGAATCTGAGTGTTCATCTGGCACTAGCAGAGTAGATAGAGCAGGGTCACCAAGGGCTGGGGATGGAGGATTTCTTGCCTTGATTTAGCTAGCCCATGTACAAGTATATTCAATGAATGCCATCAAACCATTTATTAAACAAGTTTTGAATGTATACTCTCAAACTAGGAAACTATGAGATCATAGGCCATTTCCATAGTGTAGTGGTCATCACACTTGCTTAACACCTGAGAGGCCGGGATGTAAACAAGGTTACTTTTTTCTCTCACTTTCCCTTCTATTTTCAGACTCTCAGCTCACTCCCTGGGCTTTTGAGCAGTAAGGACATAAGAATCTTGGCTCTTTTGTTCTTGACTGTCATACATATTTTCCTGAGCTCAACAGATAGCAGGTAACTTTGTGAGGATGTTTTGAACATAGAACATAGAACATACAAGGGAGTATGATGGCAGTGGGGGATTAGCTCAAATGGTAGAGCGCTCGCTTAGCATGCGAGAGGTAGTGGGACCGATGCCCACATCCTCCAACTTTTATGACAGCCACTCATAGTTTCAACAAGGCTTAGTAAATGGGGGTCTCATGCTTTCTACAGACTTGGGTGCCCCTTTGAAGCACAAATTCACTATATGTAAGGCCTGGGAATGTGGCTTAGAGGCATGCTGCTTGCCAAGTGTGTAAAGCCCTAATTTAATTCAATTCGACAATCCGAGGACACCTGCTTTATTGCATCACACTCATCTTGCTATTTGCCTTTGTAATGGAATGGGGACTTCACTAAAAGACTCATCGTAAATACCACAACACATATTTCTGCCAGGCTCCCTGGGAGTGCTGGGAGGGACAAAACTCAGACTGAGAAAACTGTCAGGAAAGTTCTTTGTCAGAACATGCTTTGGACCTCACTAAGCTGTTGGACATTGGTGAGTGATTGGGGTTCTGAACGTGGCATTCCTCAGGTCAGTGTCTCCTGATCAGCAGAAGGCAAGAAACCAACAGGAGTTCCAGGCTTTCTGATCCACCCAGGAAGTCAGGAGGTGAAGAGTCAGTGTGCCTAGAGAGAAGGGATGTTGTAGAAAATGTGAGGGGGAGAAAGACTCAGGTTTTCTGTTGTTTCCTTCTGCTTCCTGACTGGATACCTTCTAGAACTCGGCTCCCTCCACCTGTGCTTTCAGGACACTAAAACCACAGAAACAATACACAATTAGGAACCTTGCGTCAAAAAGGATAGAGTTTTGTTGTTGTTTGTTTGTTTTAAGTGTTAAGACTTCGGACGATTTTTTTTTTCTTTTTGAATAAAATCTTCCCCAACTGGCCCGTACGGGGATCGAACCCGCGACCTTGGCGTTATTAGCACCACGCTCTAACCAACTGAGCTAACCGGCCAAGCTGGTCAAATATTTCTGCTAGCTCTGCAGACATGTGATGATGACATAAACGCTAGTTGACAAAGAATTTGGAGGGTTTTTTACTTGTTCGTTTGATTTTTAAAGTTTTCTGAAAAGAACTATGAACCCCACACTGTTCTAAGACTGAATAAGGAAAAGAATGTAAATGTCACATTCCAATGTTTGTTGACCCAGGTTAATTGCACTATGCATAGACAAGCCCAGTACACTTGCTCAGGCTGCAAGTCGCCCTCCAGTTGTGGAGGTGAGGACTTCAGAGCAGTTTAAACTGCGTTCTGTTTTAAGGTGGTATGCCTTAAATAGCATCCAGTAGATGAAGAGTGCGCTTCAAGTAGATATAAATTGCGGATTTTATTCTAAAAGGAAAGACAACCTGGCCCGTACAGGGATCGACGACGCAACATTGGCGTTATTACCAGAATGTTCTAACCAACTGATGTAACTGTCCACATCGTAACTAACCACATGATCAGTACCTTCCAGTCCACCCATACAGATAAGGCTATAATTGCCAATTGAGAGAATTTTGCTTGGTTTTTTTTTCTCTTTCTATGTTTTACTTAAAACTGGAAACAGTTACAAAACTCGTGTTGCTCTAAGTTGAAAGTTTCTCTAGGCAGAAAGAAAATTCTGTACGAGGGCAAGTAATGTCACGTTGCAATGCAATGATTCCTGACCAGGGACACTGGCCCGGGACAGCCCAGTCCACTCGTTCAGTGGTCTCCCAGACTGCCAGCCGCCCTCTAGTTCTCACAGAGTTCGCCTCCTGCGCACTTCTCCTTGTTGCTTCGGAGTGACAGTTTGATAGCCTTTGCAGTTTTGCCGAATTTCGCAATCAATTCGTCAAAAACCTTTGGATAACTCTGAAGATGGCAGACTCCGCCAAGTTGCGCGTCTCTACTGGGCCACTAAGGCATCGCTCCAGTCTTATAGACGCCGGGACTCCAGAGACCGGGTGTTCGTGCCCGGAAGATCTGCTTGTTCGCGGCCGGCGAGGCTTTGTCCATCTTCCACCGTCGGAGACGACGGAGTCCTGAGTGATGAGTGAGTCCAGGACCAGCGCGCCCCGGCTGGTCAGAGGACGGAGTCGTCTCGCTTGTCTTAGGTCGCGGTGATGCCAAACTCTGCTCAGCTCGAACTTGGATTTACCGTCATCACTGTTCCAGGAGTTTGGAAGACGCCTGCTCTTCCGGGCGGTTCAAAGCTGTCTCAGTGGGAACCCGAAGAGTCGAGGACCGACTGTCCCGTCCTCCGCGTCTGAATTCAGGGAAGAGCTCCCGTGTTTATTCGGTCCTCCTTTAAGTTGTCCGAGAAGTGGACAACTTGAGTTTCTGGGCGTTTTTGGTCTGAGGGTCTGCAAGGCTTGGCGACGCACGAAAAAAAGTGGAAGCGACCCCAATAGGCTGTATGGAGTTGGCGCTGACCACTGCAGGACCTAATGCCTAGTGTCCTCTGACCTGGAGGCTGTGATTGTTCTCATCCTGACATCTGAAACAGCTCCTGGTCTCTCGGCAACCAGGAGCTTCCGGGACACGGAATATCTGTGACTACGGAGTCGCTCGCGATCTCGGAGCCTGTAACCGAAGAAGCAAAGGCAGAGCATCAGCCTCCACCTACCCAATCTTTTGTTCCTCTGTATCCTCTTCGTGTAAAGATTGTTGATCCTGTTCTGAGGCACCGACCCTCAGAGCTCCGGTTCCCAGCTGGTGGCCTTGCTGAGGCAACAACCACAGGAGACACGAACAAAGCTTCGACACAGCGTGACGCGTGACGCACAGTTCCTAGAACGTCACAAGCCAGTGCAACACTCTAAACTCAAACGGCTTTACCGCCAGGTTTCAGGACCCTTGTGGCCAAAGTCCCGAAGGCCGGTTCAAGAGCTCTGTCTGCGGGGTCTTCATTTCAACGTCCTGTCCCCGCTGTTGATCCAGTAACTCTCCAAGGTTAGAAAACCCGTGCGTGCGCAGCCGACAAGGACCTTACAAACTTTCTCTGGTCGTCCCAGGAAAGCTTCATCCCGAAAGCCCCTGAATTGCCTCTCGTGTTGTCTTCTGCCGGCTTCTCAAAACTGAGATTCTGCGGAGGTGGGGCTCTTGGGCACAGTGACCTTGATTAGGACATTTTAGCAGATAGTTATTTTCTTTCGGAGATGAGGGAAGAGTTCCTCAAAGTGTTGACTCCTGTCCCTGTGCGTGGGAAGTTATGAATAAATAGATATTCTGGTCCCGTTGGTCTGTGTGAGACAGCATAAATCCATTCTGTCTGACTACCTCCACAGAAAGTTAACATTCCAAAATAACTGCTGTCTCGGTACTGCTAAAATGCCTATCTGGAATTCCCCATCGGGGAAACTGTGGAGACCTCAGGTTCAGATTTCAGAGCTCCAGACCGCAGACAATGAAGTCCTGGAGTAAATTCCCGGGTGTGGGAAAAGCCACGAACGACTCCAGTGCCGCTGACCTGTTTGTAACAAGCATTCTGATATTGAGTAGTGTGGAAGAAATTCAGGCAACTGAGCTCTTCAACCGAGGTATTTCTGTATGAAAAGGAACTGGTTCCCATCTATCTGGTGATTTAAAATTGAAAAGAGGAATTAGCCAAGATCCCAATCCTCTAAACAGAGAAGCCAGGTTTACCAGATTAAAGATAGAGTGACCTGGCATATGTTATTCTCTGGATTTCATCTCTAGCACCACAAACACAGTCAATAAAGCATGTTGGAAAAGCAAAAGCATTTCTGGGATGAAGTTTCTGATAATGGTAGATGTTAGTTAGGGTTTCTGTTGATGTCAAGTGACACCATGACCAGAGCAACTCTTTTTTATTATTTCTAAATATTTTTGTTTATTTTACATACCAAACACAGTTTCCCCTCCCTCCTCTCCATCCAGCCCCTTCCCCCAACCAGGGCAACTCTTATAAAGGAAAACATTTGATTGGGGTGGGGCACTTACAGTTCAGAGGTTCAGTTCATCATCATCAAGGTGGGACATGGCATGCAGACAGACATACTGCTGGGCATGTAGCTGAGTCCTACGACTTGTATGCAACAGGAAGTAGGCTTTGTGTCACACTGTGCAAAGCTTGAGCAAAAAAGACCTCAAAGCCACTCCCACAATGACACACTTCCTCCAACAAGGTCACACCTACTTCAACAAGGCCACATCTCCTGAGAGTACCACTCTCTTTGGGGCTCATTTTCTTTCAAACCACCAGAGTGGATATAATCTTTTTGCTATATTCTTGGATTCTGTTTGCAAGTATTTTATTGAGAATGAATACATCTATGTCTATAGGTAACATTGGTCTATAATTTCTATTGTGTTTTCGTGTGGTTTGGGTATCAGGATAATAGCTTTGAAAAAAGAATTAGTGTATGTTCCTTCAGTTACTATTTTGTGGGATAAGTTGAGGAGTATTGTTCTTTCTTCTTTGAAGGTCTGGTAGAATTCTGCACTGCATATATCTGGCTCTGGTTTTGTTTTGTTTTGGTAGTTTATTTTTGTTTTTTGTTTTGATAGAGGACTTCTGTTTTACTAGAGGTTATGGGCATATTTAAATGATCTGGACTTAACTTTGAGAGGTTATACATATCAAGAAATTCTTCCATTTCTTGTAAGATTTCTAATTTGGTAAAACAGAAAATTTCAAAGTATATCCTTATGATTCTCTGAATTTCCTCAGTGTTCACTATAATGTCCCCTTTTCACCTCTACTTTTGTTATTATGGATGTTCTCCTTGTATGTTATTTAATTTGGCTAAAGGGTTGTCAATCGGGTTGATTTTCTCAAAGAACTAACTCATTTCATTGATTCTTTGAACTGTGTTTTATATTTTTGTTTCTATTTCATTGATTTCATCCTGGAGTTTCATTATTTCTTGCCATCTACTGTGTTGGGTTGCTGTTCCTTCTTGTCATTGTCTAGACCTTTCAGAACAACACTTATGTGTCACTAAGTTACTACTATGAGATCTCTCCAGTCTTTTGATGTAGTCATTTGGTGCTATGGAGTTGCCTCTTAGAACTGCCTTCCTTGCGTCCAATAGGTGTGTTGTGCTTTTATTTTCACTCAATTTTAAAAGGATTTAATTTATTTTCCCCATTTTATATTCAGTAGTGAGTTATTCAGTTTCCAACAATTTGTATACTTTCTGCTGCTGTTGACATCCAGCTTTAATCAATGGTGACCAGGTAGGAGGCAGAGAGGTTTTTCAGTTTTCTTGTATCTGTGGGGACTGCTTTGTGTCCCAGTATGTGGCCAATTTTGGAGCAAGTCCCATGAGTTGCTAAAAAGAAAGTGTATTCTTTAGTGTTAAGCTGGCATGTTCTGTAGATGTCTGTCAGGTCCATTTGACTTATGATGTTATTTAACTCCAGCATTTCTCTTGTTTCTGTCCAGGTGACGTGTCTATTGAGGAAAGTGGGGGAATTGAAGTCATCCATTATCTCTTTGTGTGAATAAATATGTGATTTTAGCCTGTGTAGTATTTCTTTTGTGAGTACCCTTGTGTTTGGTGCATAACTGTTTACATTGCAGTATCTTCTTGGTGGGTTTTTTCTAAAAAGAGTATGAAGTGTCCTTCCTTATCTCTTCTGGACAATTTTGGTTAGTAGTCTATTTTGTCTGATAGTAAAGTAAGTACACTTGATTGTTTCTTGGGTCATGTGCTTGGAATTCCTTTTTCCATTTTTTTCTTTTTTTACCCTGAGGTAATTGGTGTCCTTGATGGTGAGATTTATTTCTCGATTTTATCAGAAAAATTTAATTTGTCAGTCTGTTATCAATGAGCAATGTTTATTGATTTCTGGTCTTTTCTTGTTAGGATGTGAGTTTTCCCCTTTTTTTGATGAACTGTAATGGGATTATTTTTTCCTTGTGTCTTTTTGGATGTGGCTAATCTCATCAGACTGAAATTTTCCTTCTAGTGTTTTGTGTAGAACTGGATTGGTAGGTAAAGATTATTTAAATTTAGTTTTGTTATAGAATGTTTTTCTTTCCCCACTGATTGTGCTTGATAGTTTTGCAGGGTGTAGCATTCTGGGCTGGCATCTGTAGTCTCTCCAAGTTATGGAACTTCTGTCTAGGCTCTACTGGCTTTCAGAGTGTGCACTGAGAAGTCAGGTGTTATTCTAATGGGCATATGTTAATGTGGATCTTCCCTTTGTATTATTTGTATTATTTGTGTTATTTAATTGGCTAAAAGGTTGTCAATCATGTTGATTTTCTCAAAGAACTAATTCATTTCATTGATTCATTGAACAGTGGACAGAAGTTTCTGTCTCATCCTGTCCTCAGTCATTCAGTCCCAAATAAATACACAGAGACTTATATTAATTGTTATAAATTATTTTGCTTATTTTCTCAAGCTTCTTATTGGCTAGCTCTCTCTTAATTATTAATCCATTTCTATTAATCTGTGTATCTCCACATGGTCTTACTGGTGATGCCTGATTCTCTTGCTTCCTCAGCAGCTACATGGCATCTCTCTGACTCTGCCTACTATCATTCTCTATGCCTGTGTGGATTTCCCACCTGGCTAGATCTTGCCTGTCCATTGGTCAAAACAGCTTTATTTATCAGCCAATAAGAGAAATATATATTCACAGCATACAGAAGGACATCACCCATCACCTTTTTAAGATTGATCTTTTTTCCCTGGCAATTTTTAATATTGTTTCTTTGTTCTGTATATTTAGTGTATTAATTATTATAGGAACTTTCTTTTCTGGTCTTGTCCATTCAGTGTTTTGTATGTTTCTTATACTAGGAGGCATCTTTAGATTGGGAAAATCTTCTTCTAGGACAAACATGGTATGTACTCACTTATAAGTGGACATTAGCTGTAAAATAAAAGATAATCATGCTGCAATACATAGATCCACAGAAGCTAAGTAACAAAGTGGGCTCAAAGTGGGGATGCATGGATCTCCTAGGAAGGGGACAGAGAACAGATTTTTAGGGAGTGGACAGGGATGAACAGGTGGGGTGGGTATGGAGGAAAAGAGCACTGGGTGGAGGATGGCTGGAACTGTGATACATTACAGGGCTAGATAGAAACCTAGTGCATCAGAAACTCCCAAGAATTTAAGAGGATGACCCTAGTGAAAATTCCTAGTAGTGAGGAGATACCAAGCCTAAACTGTAACAAGGCTGTCCTCTGTAACAGACAAGGATTCTAATGGAGGGATTGGGACACCACCCCAGCCACAAAACCTTCAACCTACAATTTGTCCTGTCTGCAAGATGTGCTGGGTAAAAGTGGTGCAGAACTTGTGGAAGTGGCCAACCACTGACTGTCCAGCTTGAGACACATGTCACAAGAGGAAGCCCACTCCTGAGACTGCTTGGAGGGCTAGGGACTGGAGGGTGCATAGCAGAGAGACTTATGATAGACTCAAACACAAGAGGTGGTCAAAAAATAATTTCTAAGAATACTGGACCCTAGCATAACAGTCATCAGAGATGCTTCATCCAGCAACTGATGGGAGCAAATGCATAGACCTAGAGTCAAACATTAGGTGGAGCTCCAGAACCCTCTGGAAGATAGGGAGGAAGGCTTGTAGGAGTCAAGGACACTACAATAAAAAAGCTCACAGACTGAACTAGCCAGGGCTCATAGGGACTCACAAACATAGTCAGGGACCCTGTATGAGTCTGACCTAGGTCCTCTGCATATATGATGTGGTTGTGTAGCTTGGTGTTCTTGTGGGACTCCTAACAGTGGGAACAGGGACTGTTTCTGACTCTTTTGCCTGCTTTTGGGACCATTTTCCTCCTGTTGGGTTGTCTCATTTAATATGAGGGGATGTACCTAGTCTTATTGTAACACAATATGCCATGTTTGGTTGATTAACCTGGGAGGCCTGTCCTTTTCTGGATGGAATCAGAGGAAGAGTGGATCAGGTAGAGAGGGTAGTTGTGGGGGGAATGGTGACTGGGAGGAGAGGAGGGAGCAGAAACTACAGTTGTGATTTAATATGTGAGAAAAGAATAAATAAAAATATGTGTCTTTGATCAGATTTCCTGGACGTTTTGCGACTAGATTTTTTAGATTTAACATTTTCTTTGAGTTATCTATTTAGTCTCCCATATCTTCAAATTTTCGCTTGAATGCCTTGTAATTTGTTGATGAGGCTTACTTCTGAGGTCTTTGTTTGACATCTTTTTTTATTTCTAGTTTTAGTTCAGTTTGGGTTTTCTTTAGTGATTCTATTGCTACTTTCATTTCTTGAAATATTTACTTTATTGTATTGTCTTGAGGTTTCTATTGTTGTGAAGAGACACCATGACCAGGGCAATTCTTGTAAAGGAAAGCATTTAATTGGGGCTTGTTTACAGTTTCAGAGGTTTAGTTCATTATCAGCATGGCTGGAAGAATTGCAGCACACAGGCACACATGTTGCTAGGAAAGGAGCTGAGAGTTCTACTTCTAGATCCACAGGCAGTATGAAGAGAGAATGAGCCACTGTGCCTGGATTGAGCTTCTGAAAGCTCAATGCCCACTCCCAGAAGCACTCTTCCTCCACATCTGCTCCAGCAAGACCACATGTCCTAATCATTTGAAATAATGCCACTCCCTATGAGCTTTTGGGAGCCATTTTCATTCAAACTAACATGATCATTCAACTATTAGTGCTTTCACAGTTTTTGGTAAGGCATTTGTTCAGATCCTTTTTAAGGTTCCCGAACATATTCCTAGGTGCTGTTTTGAAGTCCTGGTCTTATGCTGCAGCTTTATTGCATTTCTAAAGCCTATTACAATAGGGTTACTGGCTTCTCCAGGAGATATGTTGTCTTGGCTGTCCATGTAGGCAATGGAGTTATGATGTTTGAGCTGTTTCTGGGCTAGATATCTAATCTGGTCTCTAATGGGTGGATGTTCTGTTCTTTGGTTGCTGTTGCCCACTCTGAATCCTAGGCAAGTGTGGTAGTGATGGGGTTCCTAGTGGAGAGGGGCTTCTGCAGGTGGGAAGGTATCACAAAGAAATGGAGATGGGCTCTGAGGAAGGGCTCAGAGGGGTAGTGGAAAAGAGCTAA